TAAGACTGTTCCTTACTTTATACAAAATGTTAAAAAGAATTTCAATGCAAATTGGGAATGGGAAACAACAAGAAACGTATTAAAGTGCAAGACAGGGCCACGCGAAATCGCAATTGTCTGTAGGTTAATCGTTTGCAGACCACAAGTTTCTACTATGGTTTCTACTTTGTCTGTTAACATGGTTGCTAGACGACCTCGTTTTAATGTAGATACATTGGTGATACCTTTGCTTTAGTGATCATAACTTGATCGTTAACCGCGAGTAGTAACGAGTTTATTAGGCTCGGTATATTATGTGACTTTAATTATTATTTATTTTTTTCTGATAAATTCTAAATGTTTGACACTTCATTTCGCTTTTGCTAAAATATACTCAACACCTTTTGTCATTACGTTTCTCGCCCTGTAAAAAGAATTATCCGTTATTTTTTTCGATTCCACTTCGTTCGGGACAAGCTGAGACGTCTAAGCCATACTGCCAGATCTTAGAGCGGTTACACACGGCGACTTTTAGCAGCGATGCAAACGCGATGCAAACACGATGCAAACGCGATGCAGTCACTAATCGTCTACCTTTACACACACGCGCGTTTTAAGCAGCGAGCAATGCAAACGCGATGCATGCGCGCGGAACTGCATCGATACAAACGTGCGATTGCATCGCTACATTTGAGATTTATAGGCGATTGCATCGATGCCGTCCCGCGTTTGTATCGATGCAATCGCGCGTTTGTATTCATGCAGTCGCGCGTTTGTATCGTTGCAATCGCCTATATATTGCAATTGTAGCGATGCAATAGCGCGTCTTTCTGCTTATGTAGCTCGAGGTGCGGGTTTTTGCAAATTTTTGTCAATTAATCCAAAACAAAAAAGTATCTTATAAGGATGGTAGCATTTCAAACTAAACATTAAGAAATCTTATCTTTTTTAAATAAGTGGGTATTTATGACCTCAATCTCACATGATGAAAGTGACGATGAGGTCGACGATGGACCATGCACTCATAAATAGTCTTGTGCCCTTACTCTGGATTGTGCCCTTACGATATTCGAACGAAAGTGTATAGCTTGATATACTGTTGACTGTACTTAATATATAGAAATAAAAAAACCCGGTTTTGTAATGTCACACTTGACCATGAGACCCCGTATAAAAAGCGTCTTAAGTGTTCCGAACTTCGTTTTAACACCTTGCTTATGTTTATCAGATAGCAAAAGCAATTTTTGAGAAAATAGTCGTGATATACAAACGATATCACTGAAGTCTCAACGGGTACGCTCGTTTAAAAAAAGAGTAAATCAATGCTCTATATTATAATTGGATGGTGATAAGCACCGAAAGCGAAAATGGCACCTAAACATTTTTTCGTTGTTTTTAATAGTTTGTTCTAAAATTTACTTGTATAATGAATACTTTACTTGTATAATGAATACTTTTGCTGTTGTCACCTCAGGAATGATGAATTCTTGTGATTTGTGACGACAAGCACTACAGCAAAAGTATTTATTTTACATCGAGTATATAACCAGAAATAGACATGAAATGTCATTTCATTTGTTTGATAATTATTCTGAAATCAAACTTCGCTCCCATTGACCAGCCGGAATTGGTCGTCAATTGTTTCACTTCAAAACGACCAGTTTAACTTGAGCTTTGCTATAATGAACGAAAATTGAAAAATTATATATTTAATATTTAATTACCGATGAAATGTGATTCCGTTTGTTTTGTAATTAGATGTTTTGCTGTTTTTCCCACATCACCGCATGGTACAATACCCCATTGTTGAAGATATTATCTTTATTACAATAAATACATAATATTTTTGGAATATACGGAGACGTATATACAGTTCAGTTATTGGTGCTGCACTAATTCAGCTTTCTAATTTGTGATATCAGCACAAACGAGAGTTGATTTTTAAAAGTGATATAAGGCCCATTTGCCTGATGTATTGCCAGGTATGGATGGCCCTTATTTCGTCTTTATTTCTGGTTAAATACCTACTCGATGTTATTTTACATGTAAATTTTAGAACAAACTGTCAAAAACAACGAAAAAATGTTTAGGTGCCATTTTCGCAAAACTATGATCATGTTGCTTCACACGGTATTGTTTATCAGTATCCAATTGATACAAAGATAGAACAACACAGAGAAATTCCTGCGAGCTGACATTCCATTCTCGTCTCTAATGCCCCGTGTTTTGTTTAAGTTTTTCTGTAATAGCATACGCGTCTGAATTATTTTGTAGTTTTGGGCTTATAACCTTCGATAACGATAACACTGCACATTTTTATCAGTCCATAGCAATAGCCGTTTCTGAGAATAGTCGTGACACACAAACACACTAATACGCCGTCTTTTATTTACACTTTAGGTCGATTTTGAACCTAAATGATATACATATTAAGTACATCTACGATTAGGTTATCTAAATGACACGTCTGCTCGTTTGCCTCCAACATTATTTAAAAAACAAGCTAACAAAAAATTCATTTTATATGGGCAACCAAAATTGCTCTCTATTACTACCATCAATTGAAATCAGTCAGGGACAACCTGCATACAAGTTAATCATACTTAAGTTATTCTTTCAACGAATCAAGTGATACCGGGAAAATGTATTCCCTAGGTCAAGTTCGTAAGGCCATAGTCGTCTTACTGGTTCAACGCGGCTTGGGACTTACTAGGACTGACAATTCAAATAGTTTTAATTTCGTCCACAACTGTTGTTATACTTAAGTGTTTTATTGAATGTTTCACCAGTATAATATTCAATTACTTTTTTGTGAAATTACTCCACTAGTTTGCTATAATCATTAATACAGATACAAAGATCCGACCATAAGCACATACGAAAATTCCGTGGCTTAGTTGGCATTGCGTCTGCCACGGTTTGCTAGAAAACGTTGGTTCGAATCCGGCTGGATCGAAGGAATTTTTTCTAAGTGTTCGATCTTTTTATTAATGATTATAACAAACTACTGTTGTTATACTGTTCATGAAATTATACTGAGCAAGTACGTCAGTTTTAAACATTGTTACACCATCACCGGATAATAAATAAGTTACGTGTAGTGTTTTCATGTAAATGTGTTTGTAAATCCACGAGTAAATACTACGGCAAGCACACAAAAACATCTAAATGGCAAAGTAAATAAACCATTCTGACCTCATTGTCGTAACTAAGTCATTTACTAAGGCATTTCGGTAATTTAAGAGATATTGGCAAATTTATTTATTATTTTGATGAACATAGTAAGAGAACAGTAAATAGCAAAAACTATAAAAAAATAACATAAATAATAACTCAATTTCGCTTAAAATTTACGTTAACAAAAGTAGTAGGTCGATATTATTATGTCGAGCGACTTTTGTAATTCGGTTTTCAAAAAGCAATATTATGAAAATCATCTTAAAATTCAAAGGTCCTTTGAAATAACAGAGTAATAATATGAAACGAGTGGCAGCCGTAAAGTCCTCGAATGGCTTTTAGAATAAAGCAATGCTGGGCGGTGGCTTGAATTGGCAAGAAATGTGTTTATGGCTCGGGCACAGATGGCCGAGTTATATATATAGTAAATGCCTAGTGTTGTAACTTGAAAAAAAAACAAATGTTTTTTCACATTTTTGAAAAAAAAAAACATAAAAAAACACAGCGCCCTGGTTTATTTTCTAATTTTGTTTTTTTTTTCAGAAAAAGTAAAATGGAATAACTGAAATAAAATAAGACATTAACTTTTGTTTTAAGAATATATATACATGTGTGAATATATATAAAACATGTTTATTAAAATCAATTACCATCATAATTATAACAAAAATGTAATCTTCATTTGTGGTTTTAATAGTGTTACTACTGTTACGGGTGTTATACACAAGTGTAATTGGCATCAAAATTTTTTGTGTCTTCGTTTCCTTCATTCAAATCCTACCGAATAATTATATATAAGCGGCTTGCTAGTAATTCTATGTAAATGTTGCTATATAAGGGATATGTGCGATGTCGAAAAAATATTGATATCGCTGTTAGATAAATAAATAAGTAGTGTTTTTATCAGTAACCATCAAAGTAGCGAAGCAACAGCAATCGATAGATTTACAAAAAAGCTAAAATGTTAGAAACCCCGCATAGCGTCAATCCTACAAAATGCTCAATTGAGTTGAATTTCCTCACAATTTGGGGAATTTACAACAAATTGACAACACTATGAGTGTTGCCGACTTATTTTGAGCAATTTATCTATGATGAATAATATTAACAACAAAAGAGGAAATGTAGTAAAATAATACAATTGTCATATTGTCATATTTTTATTTTCATACTTTTAGAAAAAAACGTACTCTAGAAAAAAACGGTTTTTTTTTCATGTTTTTTTCATTGTTTTTTTTTCACCTCAGAAAAAAAAACGGTTTTTTAACAACACTATGCCTGGCCCGACTTAATAACTAAAACACGTCCTTTATGGTCTTTGCACTCAATTACTCTTTAGTCATAAACTTCATTCGCTTTTATAGGTATATCACCCACCACACGCAACAAATTGTGTGAAAACATAACAAAACGATACGTAATTTCTTTCAGCGCTATGTAGGTATGTCGTATTGTCGTCGTCCGTAATAAATAGTACTTAATATTTATTACATTTTATCTTCAGATGTATTATTTGACGTAGGTAAGTAAAAGAGGTTTAGTTATAATTAAAATATATAATATTTATACTTTAAGCACCGGTACCCCAATACTACGTGTAACTTTCGAGGTTCTCTTTACCTACCACGAAGTACTTTATGGTAGCTTGTTGATTAAATCAATGTAATTTTCTACGAAGTCCATATCATTGAAAATAATCAGTGTAATTTTATTTGATTGTGTCTTTTAGCGACGTGTATTTATAAATAAAAGGAAGACTGGCGTTATTCAAAACACTAAATTTATTTTTGCTAACAACATTGTATACTTAATACAAATTAACAGATAATACTATCGAACCAAAATAACATATCGTGTCCTGCCTAATCTTTTAGTCGTTATCGTACAATACTTGAACAAACAGTACACGTAATCTTCACCGAAAATCAATACTACAGTCCATTGAACACACAACGCACTCGTTTACAGGGCATTGAAGTAATGGGAGACGACTTTCCAGCCCATGTACCAGGTAATGAGGTTGGATACTCCGAACGCGATACCTCGCGACGGCGGTGGCATTGGTTTTACAGCATACACTAATGAATGTAGTATACGACCAGCGGTATATATTCTAAACAACCAAGTGGCAACTTCAGGATCCGGGCCCGTTGTAAGATACAGTCCTCCCAAAATCCAAAAGACGGGAATGTTTTCCAAATCGTTTAAATGTGCGCGCCTAACTCGCTCCACGTCGGGGTCATCGAATTTGACGACACCTTTAGCTTTTTGAGCGTCTTCTTCGTTAGCGAATACCTTCTTTGCATATCGCTGTCTCGCTGTCAAAGGTGCCATCACCAGCACTTTGAGAGCCAACACTCCAGAGTACACGAAGTACGTTTGCACTATTGGCTGATCGTAAGATACAGGCACCATGTTGTTAGTTTCTAGTGGTGTATTTTTGGAACGATAAAGCGTGTGGTCCAACCGAGTTCCTATTACTGAATGGCCCGGCAAGATATCGCCGCGGACGGCCGGCCGACTACGCGATCATGTGATCGCGTCATCGTATAGTTATGTACTATTATGTATTATATATTATATCTGACGCTCGATTAAAGCTGGTGCACATTACCTGTCTCGGTAACACGCTTGATAATCGTACTATGTGTTAACAAAGTAATCTCGAAGCAATCTCGAATAATTGACACTAATTTATATAATAAGTTCCTTCAAATTGTCACCAGCCCGTTGCACCAAGTACCAAGTAATTGTCTAAGTTTCTCCTAACTTATTAATTAGTTTTTTCAACAAAATTGAATTCTTAAACGAATACCTATCTATTACAACTAACAATTAAAACCAAGTATATAATTGGTTATTTTGTAACCAATCTCTAAAATGTAACTTCGAAAATTTTATTCCAAGTTTATTTTTTACGAAAGAGACGAATCCTTCCTCTGGAACTAGAACGCTCCAATCTTATCATCGTACCATTTTTTTTAATTCCATCAAACGTTTCTTTTTATATCTTGATTCTTGATTAGGTACCTATTACGGTATTACATAAACATGCCTTTACCCGGCAGGTGTAATGATATTATTTACAGCCTATCTCTAAATGTCTTGTTACTATACGAATAAAATTTGCGATAGCGTTGCGGGTTGAATAATAAAAGCATTACTTAACTTTATTTATATAAAACAATTTATTAAACTTTGTTCCCCACATAGGTATCCTTATACATCCATAAAAAAAAAACAAAATCATAACACTTTTGTCATAAAAAACAGTCACAATCAAACAGCGAGAGCATTTTAAATTGCAGTAATGTAGTGTAACACTATTTGTGCTCCCATATATAACATGATCATATACGGGATTCCGAAAGCGATGGCACGGGCCGGTTGCGGGAGAGGCATGATGCAATAGACAAATGTGTGGAGCATACGGCCAATGGTAAACACACGAAAGAGTAATGAGGCCATCGCTACCGCCGGCCCTGTCGTCACGTACAGTGCCCCGAGCACCCAGAATACAGTAACATTCTCCAGATCGTTGAGATGACATCGCCTGATTCGCTCCACGTCAGGATCATCGAACTTCACTTTACTTCCTGGCTTGGTCTTTGCATCCTCTGGGTTCGCGAAGATTCCTTTCCGAATCCTTGTCGCAGCCGTAAGCATTGCCATTGCCAACACTTTCATAGCCAGGATGGCCGAATACACAATGTAAATTTGCACTACAGGACTATCCAAACTAATAGATGCCATTTTGTTTTGTTTCTTTTTATTTTGACGCGCGCGATTCGTGTGTACGCTCGGCTGGTCACCGTTTGAATGAGCTGAAACTATATAGTATGGTAGGTACTTCTACTATTTCTTAACAACCTTTACTTAATTGTTATTTTGTTAAATAATGCGTTCCATTACTTCTGTTTCTGTGTCAAAATTTAACTATCTAAACGCATAGCCGGCAATGGATTTTACAGAGAAAAGGTTGCTCGTTAAGTACAGTTATGTACGGTGCTAAGCTTTCATTATCTTGTCGGGAACGCTGTTTTTGTATTTTTTTCGACTTATGTTTTACCTCATCCTTTAAATTTAGGCTGTATTTGTTTGTTTCTGTATTTTGCAGCAAAACATAATATGTTAAAAAACTTATAGCTTGTACATGTGTACAGCTAAAGTCGTATAACTAGAAATTCTTGTAATAAAAACGTAACAATGCAAGGTTGTTTTAGAAGATGTCAGAGTTCACAACTATAGGTAGGTATCTAATTGAACCTAATAAGTACTCGACGTACATATTTATATTACTACATAAATGGAACTGCAGAAAACATAAAACAACAATAGTTTAAACTATCGTGTAAAAGAGACGTAAATATATTCACTTTTATTATTTCCTTCGAACATGAGTGCCGGAGACCCATTTACACACAATCGTTTGGAGGTTACTAGTAATGCAGTCTGACAAACTTACCTCGCTGACTGTGGAAGCGTAGTTGAAGACGAGGGGAGCAGATGCGGGACGAAGGCTTTAGATCAGTGCAACACACTTAAGTTTAGTACGTATTTTCACCACGTTCACAATGTTATTGTCACGTTAGCCACGCGGTAATGGCGCATATTGAGGGCGCCTGCTCGCCGGCACATAGCAATGTGAGGCCTGCATGCAATGTTGCTCTGAACTATTTGGGACTCTGTAACTTTTATGATATTACACGTACTTCATACAAAGTGTCATTAAGAATATTTTTTAATTGAGGCTATTAGCTCAAGAGTAGTGTAACCCACATTCATTCTACAATATTACTTTAAATTATACTAAAGTATATAATTGTTTCGTAGTTCCGGATGTTATTTTCGTGTATAAATCTTTATTTCATTACTTAATTTTTTTAAACACAGGCATAAAAAATTAAGAAGATGGATTTTCATTTGTGTTTGTGCATCATTAATCATCGCATATAGTAGCAAAACAGCAGGGACCAAATTGTAGAAGAACATTAGTACAACAATTCCAAAGATACATAATTCATAGTTTTTGGGAAAGTACATAAGATTCGCCCCCGGGTGGGCTCGAACCACCAACCTTTCGGTTAACAGCCGAACGCGCTAGCCAATTGCGCCACGGAGGCTTATGGTCGACCTGTCTAATTATATGTATACATGAAAGTACTGTACATTTGTTTGGCAATACAGTGTGAAATTAATAAATAGTAATAACTTTTATAGTATCCATCAATGTAATTGTAAGGAAATTTCACTCGCAATGTAAAATAGCATGAGCTGTTATATACTATAGTCCAGATGTTCGAATATCTTATTATGTATGCTGGATATTTTTAACTGACTTGAAAAAAAGAGGACGTTCTCAATTCGACTGTATTTTTATGTGCATATGTTACGCGATTACTCCGATTTTTGTGAACCGATTTTGATGATTCTTTTTTCTTGGTAAAGGGCTCAGTAATGGCCCCGTTCAAAGTTGAAGAAAATATTCCGCCTCTAAGGCTGGCAAATTAGGGGATGAATCCAGTTTATTGGATTTCACCCGCTTTCCGTTAACCGATTTCAAAACAACCTGGCAAATAGATGCAAACTTTTGAGGTCGGTTTTTTTTATTAATCAAAAGTATGGTATGTTGGCACAGATTTGTGACGCATCAATCATGATGATGTGCTCTCATGCTGTCTCAATGAGACATTCGTATAAGAAAGCAGTATTTTAAAATATAACAATTAAAAAAACTGCTTACTTATGCAACAATGTTAATACGGTGGATTATTAAACGATCACTCTGTGTATAATTAAAAATGTACTATCAAAACCACAAATTGACGTCACTAAGTTAAGTGATATCATGATTCAGCCAACGCAAACGCATAACCATGATCAGTTGTTAAATATAATATTTAAAGCAAAAGCGAAACTAGGTCCTGTACTCTCGTTCTCCATCCGACATCCGTCTAAAACTGTTAAATAAGTAATCGACCAAATTAAAATACGCGTGATGCGAGTGAATCTTCATACTTGACATTTGTCTTACTTACTTGACACTATCAATTAAGTAATACTCGTGTAACTGAGTGCTTACTGAAGCGCCCAGTTGCACGACTCGAAAGTTTTCGCGCGGACGTGGCGCGGCGACCGCCCAGCTAACATGCTTTCACATTTCTGAAGTATATTTACTAGGCAACAACATTTAAATTCCTCTGAATAATAAAACCGCGCGGTTGTCGCGTTGCGCGATACCAAAGACAAGCCAGGGGGTCTACTCTCGATCTCCGTCCGACATCCGTCCGAAACAATTACTGTCAAATAAGTAATATCCGACAAAATTAAAAGACAAGTATCCAGTATGAAGCTTCATTCGCATCACGCGTCTTTTCATTTGGTCAAGTATTACTTATTGACAGTAATTGTTTAGGACGGATGTCGAACGGAGGTCGAGAGTAGACCCCCAGCCTCACCCGCGCGCCCGGGACACTCATTTAAGTTAAAACATAAAAGCTAAACGAATATAGCGTACTTTGCCATGACGGTCTCAGCGCGTCAGCCGCACGACGTCGTGAGCGCGATGGAGTGCCTGTCGAATAAATGCGCCCGTTTAAAAAATATTTCTGCGTTATCTCACTCATTGTTTGGTGTAGTGGAGGACTATATTTCTGCCTTTCTTATCTTAATTCACGTAATCGACATTTTTAGCGGAATTGAGTTATTAACATATCTGGGATCAGCGAAAAGATCTATAGCCCCCTCTAATCGGTTTTTTAATATCTTATTTAGTTTCAGTTTTATTGTTAAGCAAATTCGGCGTAATGCCCTTTTTATACTAGTTAAAAAAACATTACTTGCCAATTTCTCGAAAATTACTGAAATGCAAATGCGTTAGTTGTGACAAGTAGGGCAGATTTTTTTTTTATGATACCAAGTGACGGAACTTACAAGTCGTGGGCCTGGTGGTAAGCGACACGCCTGTCCGTATCTCCCTCAGACTAAGGGAACAGTGCCACTGCGCCTGTCAACCTGAGATATAAGTTGACAAGTCCCATGTGCCTGTAATTTCACCAGCACCTGCATGGCGGCAGAAATAGGAAAGGTGGCAGTACTTCCCTGGAGGAACTCTTTCACAAGGATCTATACTGCTATTAAAATTATACTTAATATTTATACTTTATTATCTAACATTTTTACAGTAGTTTTTATTAGTTTTTTTTTTGTAAGGTAACATGGTTGCCTTTATGCAATAACGCAGTATAGCAGAATACTATTATTTTAAATTAAGCATAATAACAAATAACAAATACAGCAATGAGCAGAGCAAATGAAAATCAAAGCACCCCTCTTCATACGTCAAAAACTTTTTAAGTAAGAAAAGAAGTAAGGAGATGCTTAGATGGTGCTTTGGATAAAAGAAGGATGGCGAAAGCTGCCCCAATAATGACGAAGAGTCGTTCATGGACTTTGCTAGTATAATTTTGTGCTTTAGTTTATGCCTAGTTATCAATATATTTTTGTATATATTTAAAAGTCGAGAATAAAAAAATTGTAATTTGGAATAGATGCAAGAACACAAGGCAATTAATTAATTCGACTAAAGATAATGAGTCGTATTCCAGAACTCTACTCAATGCTCAAGTCAGGACTTGAGTATGATTTATAGCACTGGAAATACGACCCTAATGGCACGGACTTGAGTATGATTTCCACTGCTTGAAATCATACTCAAGTCCTGACTTGAGCATTGAGTAGAGTTCTGGAATACGATCCTCAGTAACGTTCTTGTACGTACGTTTCATTTTAAGCATGATTGAATGTTACTACTGAAGTTATTGTGGTTATTTTATATTACACTGAAGTGGTTATTTTATATTACACACATAAAACTAAAACACCTAATGAAATAATCAATTAAACAGTAATGGCATCAAACAAAAAATAAAACACAATGTGACCAAAAATATATATACAATATTTAAATGAGAGATAATGAAAGTCGCAAAGGAACGTTTTGACAAGAGACCTCTTGCCTTATCAATGTCACATTGATATTGAGAACAGTATGTCCATTTGTGACAAATTTCTGCCATTTGGGCACATTTAATTTTTATTCATTTTCATTACTGCAGAACATGATAAGTTATATTAAATGTGGCAGAGTTTGGCAGATTTGAGAATATTCGGGAAGATCTTTATTATTTTTGTGAACAAACTCAAAACTTGTTGTTTTCTGCTACTACGAGCAAACATCTGTAGCGAAATACAGGACAATGTTATAAACATAGCCTATAAGAACTTTATAACCCCAGCTTCTACAATCTGAACTCAATTAGCTTTTTTGCTGTTTTGATAATGAATCACAAGTCTCCTTAATGTACGTCGCCAAGAACACTGGGTCACAAAATACACGAAATGACGCCATCCTTCTTTCGTCGCTGTATGCTTAGTTAAAAATAGTAGTATTCTGCAATACAAGGCCCCAAGTTGTATGTCGATAGAGCATACTGAAAGGATTTTGTACGTTTGGTATTCTGCTGAAAGTCAGAGCAGGCGTGTCAGTACTTAGTCATATCGAGGTAACTACTCAACTGATATAGCAATTTCTTCATTTCAATTCTGCTCATCAATGGCGAATTGATGGCACGTCGATGGTGTAATCTACTAATATTATGTGCAATTAATTTCAAGAATAGATTACTGATTAAACGAGATAAAATATATAGGAAATTAAACTATTTTTTCGGATGTAAATCGCGTACATTTGTTTTTCAAACAAAACAACGTTTCGAGCCCTTTACAGGTCCCATGGTCACGGTTGTAACCTGGACCTGTAAAGGGAACAGTTTCATTTCCTATGTGTAACAATCGCGAAAACCCAAGAACTCGAGATAAAATATATGCATTTAATTTCCATGGTAATTTTGGTGGGGCAACGTCGATCGTTAGTGATTGAATCAATTAATTCCAAATTCGCAAACCCGGATACATCCCTTAGTTCACCACTATACGTAACTTGACACTGGAGATAATAAAAATCGGTTCTCACAACTAAGTATTTTGAGAGAGAAAAACGCCTTGAATTGGAGAATACCAAAATAAACCATTAAAATAATTGCTCGTTATAATAAAATTTAGGTGCAATTTATAAAAATGAATCTTCATGCGTGAACAGCCACTCATGGAGGAAGATGATTTTCTTCAAAATTAAATGGAACCACTATGGAGGTACCCTCTTTCCAACAAAAAAAGAATCATGAAAATCGGTTCACAAATACCGGGGTTATCGCGTAACATACATACAAAAAAAAAACATACAGTCGAATCGAGAACTTCTCCTTTTTTGAAGTTGGTTAAAAATAGGCAGAACATACTCCTGTAGGGTACTACTAGTGTTGCCCAAATGAAAGACCAAGATGAGACTAATCCGGTCTTGGTTTTGTATTGCGTCACTATTGCTATTCAGATGTGCAAAAATACAGATTCCGCAGGTTATTGTAATGTTTGCTTTACGATGACCGGTATCGTAAAAATAACGATTCTTTTAAATTTTCGTTTAAAAATAATATTTGCATGGAAAGGAGAACAAGACAGCGTCAAAATGTGCCCCGCAACACTAACGCCAACCATCTTGCATTTTTATGGCGTATTTCCATATTCCTCGAGTACTCATAGAATTCAATATCAATTGAATAAAGAATTTTTCAATAGGTTGACCTGCCGTTGACTGTACATAAAAAAACAAAACAACAAAAATGTAAAAAAAACTATAAGATGGAGCAGTCTCGCAAACTCAATCTTATATATGCCCAAATCTCGCAGGGTCGTCTTGGTTTTGATCTTACTACAATAGACCAAGGCTGATTTTGGGCAACACTAGTACCCAACGCAGATACTGATAGGTAGGTACCGTATTTATACACTTCTTCTTCTTGAAATGCCATCTTCTATCAGAGGTTGGCTATCATCATACTATATCATAATACTCTGCAAAATTTGGAGCTGTGTTTTTTCGCTACGGCCACGTTTTCTACGTGTCTGTATTTTTTCTTACTTTATGAGTTGCAGGAGTATTTTTCACTCCGCATGATGTGCCCTAAGTACCTACGGCAATTTTTTTCTCCGTTTATACGTATACTTATACTAAAAACTTTATTATTTTCCGTTTTCAGGAGTACCTGGAGTCCCAAGGTATTGAACTCTCCAAAGAGGAAGAGCTACCAGTAGACAAGTACACTGAAATGGAGTACTGGAAGAAAAAACCTGTGCCTCACAAAGCAAATACCAAGGTTGACACTCTGCGACGATTCTTGGAATATGACGGAAAAGTTTTAGGGTGAGTGGGATCAAAACTACTTCTCTTTACGTCATTGATGGCCAATGAAATTGGACCAATATGGCGTGATGGGATGCGTAAGCATATATAGATTTTAAGATTTTCGTGGTTACTCACTAAATGATTATCACTAATATCAGGTTTCTTACCACGGTATGATTTCTTTTTATTTTCCCGATATTTCGGAACGGTTGCACGCTCCATGGTCACGGGTTGACTGGCAAAACTGGCTGGGTTGCGTAAGTTTAGTTCTTCTGTACAGAGACAACATTTGATCATACTCCATTTAGGTGCCCGAATATTCCCCACAAAAAGTTCACTAACATTTGAGGACTTCCGTGGTCGAGTGACTTGCTCACCGGTTTTCATGGTGTCGCCATCTCTGAGGTCCCGGGTTCGATTACAGGCCGGAACTAACTTTTGTACATTGACTCCAGGTCTGGGTGTTTGTGGTACCGTTGTTGTTTCCGATTTTCATAACACATGTGCTTTTGTTACTTTTGGATCAGAGCAACTTGATGTTATCTAATATTTATATTTATGTGTTTATTTACGTATCCTCAAGATTCTTTTGTGTATTGATTTCTTAGTTCCAAAAAAAAATGTTTTTTAATCGTTCCAATCCAGTTTGAAAACGTGCGCTACGTTATTAGTGGATCCTCTAATCACTATTTAAAGTCAAAGTGATATAGTCTTTAAATAGTCATATTGATTAAACTCTACTGTTCATTCGTAAGGCTAAATTCCCCTGAGAAGAATGAGCAATAAACACTAGGGGTCTACTCCTACACAAACATCAATCACCAAACTCAACAAACCAAACCAAACACCAATCACAAAATCAACAAACACTTTTATCATTTACAATGTTTATTTCAATTTCGTCATAATTAGGTACTATTTGCAACAGCTAAATGTGTCACTACAACGGATTTTTGTCATCCAAGTACACAAACGTTGTATGTAAGCGTACATTTAATATAGAGTTTTTGTTTGACTATAGTGTTCAACCTGATGAATGGCTAATTTGAAAATTGTCATCCGGAATATTATTATAGACGCGTATACATTGCCCCTTAATAGTCGACACTATCTCAACTCGAATACGAATTTTTTCCATACTAAATCGGGCCATTGGCTTTATTTAGGAATTAATTTTTTACAGACGAAATTAAAGCTATTTGAAAAGTGTGTACTGTATACAATAAGTATTCTATTTAGTTCAGTTGATATAAAAGAAAAGTTATTGGTATATGTAAAGTACCTATTCAATACGGCGGTTTTCTTGTAAATTTTCGAGTTAAGTTTGTGTTTTTTTCTATCGTGAAAAATTTTTACGTATCGTGTTTCCACACCATATAGTAATCAGTGTATATCCTCCATTTTAGTATATATTTTTTCCAAAGTTATTGATTCAACACTTTCACTGTTATGCGGAATCAATCAAAGCCATCTGAGGTTGTACAGGCTCTTAAATTAATTTGTGACTTTGTGAAGACGGCTGTCAAGAACAGCTAGTTTATTACCGAGTTCTTCGCGGTTCTTACACGTGGAAAAATAAACTATTTTTCCGGATTTACATCGAGAATATTTGTTTTTTCCAACAAACCAACTTTTCGGGCCCTTTACAGGTCCCATGGTCACGGTTGACGAAACGTTAGTTTGTTTGAAAAAACAAATATACGCGTTTTAAATCCGGAAAAATAGTTTCATTTCCTAAGCTAGTTTGTTGCTTACGTTGATACGTTATTTGTAGAGGTGTTGTACAAATGTAAAACATTATTTTATTATAACAAGCGATGGATCGAACACGTCGTGCGCCTCTTGGTAAGCGCAATATGTAACAGCTACCGTGCCAAACAAAGCTTTAAACGGCAAATATCTGAGGAGCACTGACACTACGCCTGTCACGCTGAGACATAAACCGAAACGTAGTGATGCTCAGCTTGGCGGCAAAAATAGTTAAAATGACAGTAGATACTTCACTGGACAATTTCTTTCACATGGAGCTCTGCTGCTATTTATTCTCCTCTGTCTATTTTTAAATAAAATTCACCACAAAATTGACACGTTTTGCTAATGAAATCTCAAAATCTCACTCTGAGCTACGTTCATGTTAAAATTTGTTACGCTAACTGCGTTACCCGGCACGCCCTACCAACATGTTGCCAAGGTGCATGTCAAAGTATGATTAAATCGCTGCTACACAAATCTAATGAAACTCTATCAACTATCTAGGCGTTAGACGAACTTCTTAGAACTCTGTATCAATTATTTACACGTCACGAACTTTTATTGAAATGAATTTGCTCAGAATATATTTGTCACTATTCTATACGTTTATTTATAGCGACATTTAAACAAGGGTATCGTAAGAAATATCAAATCCTTCAACATTTCGTACAATAATTGGGTCATTCTCGGACTAGTGTTTAGTATCTAACTTCCGTGGCAATTTTTATTATTAGTATTGGTTCCGTTTAAATTTTAAGAAAATGTTCTAACCTCTAAGAGTGGCAAACTAGGGGATGAATATACTTTCCGGTAACAGATTACAATAAAACTTGGCAAATAGATGTAATTCCGAGGTCGGTTTTTTTTTTAATTAAAAAAGTTGTAATTATTATTTCTTTATTTTATTTCACAATGTTCCTAGCTAAAAGTGGTAACTAAACCACAATTATGCCAAATTAAATATGTAACAAATATAAAACTTACGAAAATAATGTAATAACTAAACAAATATATTTTAAAACATCTACTGTCCGTCTCGAAAAATTTCCATCAAACCCAATTAACGTCATCACTGTCTATTAGAGAACATGTCACATTCAGTGGTGAAAATCAGAAACTCAATCAACCAGCGACATCATGACCACAATCAGAAAATTCCGTCTTCAACTGCATTCGTTCGTATCTAGGTCGTATTCGTTCCTGCTCCTTCAAAACAGAGCAATAAAACGCTCAAACCTCGTATATTTATTTATATATCCCGAAGAAAGATTCAAAACTTAAACGATAAACTATTAAAAATTTACCTAAAAGCTGCTGAAAACTATTTGACATTTACAGGATATCAAGTAAGCTTAAAATACAACATGATGTGATGTGATATAGTTCGTTAATCATTTAATAACGATAATACAATTTGCACCGCTCATGGAAAAATGGCAAAAATGATTTTAGGTAAAAAAATGTTCGTGAGTCTAATTTTAATCCACAATATTAAATCCAATGTTAATCGATTAATATTGTCGACAGAGTTACAAGAATTGGGGATGATGTAGGTTATGTTTTTCTGTGTCCATTGAAGCAATAAACATTTTTGACGTAACTTCATATAAGTATGCCTCTTTCCAGGAGATGTGCGAATTTAAAATATTGCTTCCTATATAGCCGGTCTAAATGTCTTTACTATATTTAATATAAATTATGTTTATTTGCGTTAATGTTATTATAAATTAAATAAATAATAAAAAATTAAAATTCAATCACAATGTAAAATTAATATAATTTATGATTGATTCGTTCAATATACACATAATCGTATAAATTATTATTTGACGCTCTTGAAGAACTACAAGCACATTAAACTACTTTATTATGTTTCAGAGATACTATTTGCACATAGAAATTTGATATAACCCAACATAAATCCTCCGTGAGAAACAAAGGTCACTGTAATTTAAGAATTCTGTGCTGTGAGTTTTAAAATAAGATAAAGGTATTAACTTTATCTTATTTTAAAACTCATTTTATATGTTCGTGTATTTATTCACACTAGGCATAATGTGAGTGAAAAAACAACATAACTTTATTATAAGATAAAACGCTTATCTTATATATATGTTTTAACTTCTTGTACTTATGAAACAGTGTCATAATCTCAGTACAGAGTACTAAAAAAACCGACTTCAAAACTTCATCCCATAGTTTGCCACCGTTAAGAGGTGGAATATTTTCTTCAAATGTTTAATGGGACCACTTCTGAGGTACCCTCTTTCCAAGAAAAAAGAATCATCAAAATCGGTTCACAAATTATCACGTAACCCGAAGTTATCACGTAACATACATACAAAAACAAAAAAAAACATGCAGTCGAATTGAGAACCTCCTTTTTTGAAGTCGGTTAAAAGCTCTCGTGGAATCGTAATTACCTAAACATTCGAAATGTTCTGAAATATCTGAATATAATGTAAATAAATTTACCTCAATTTGAAATATGTCTGAAAAATAATTGAAAGTGATACTTATAAGCTAGGGATCGGAATAGGTAGAATTTTTTTACCTAAACTTCAAGGAACTTAGACATAAAATGGAGACTGCCTTACGACAATATTATTTAGGTCCTGGACCTATTCGGGATTCGGGAAATCACTTAAGAACATTAAAAATTGACGTAATTGTGGACAGGCAGCTATTTGTCTTAACTTTGCGACGCTCAGTGTGTCGGATCTGCGATATTGAGGACATTGGATTTTTTTTTCACGATACCTCTAAAAAAATGCCAATCGAGAGATCCTATTGTCCTAATGAAATATTGTCATATCACATTTTGCCGTAAATCTAATAGTTTAGTAGGAAAAAAATAAAATATGTATTTTTTACTTATGCTTTCCAGTCTTGGAATCACAACAGACGTATTATTAGACCTATCTTCTATAGATTTGCACACTAAATGCGCGCCCAAACCTGCATATTCACTACTTATACGCATCAGAAAATGTGCAATGCAAAAGTTAGTATGCAAATCTATAGAAGATAGGTCTAATAATACGTCTGTTGTAATTCCAAGACTGAATCAACTAAGACTTTGTGGCACCAAAGGTATGGTCCATTACAAAAAGTACACATTTTATTTTTTTCCCACTAAATTATTATATTTATGGTATGGTATGTGATATGAGAATATTTAATTAAGACAACAGAACGTCTCGATTGGCGTTTTTTTAGAGAGGTATCGTGAAAAAAAATGCAATGTCCGCAATATCGCTGATCCG